TTTTACCTTACTTTTAGGCAAGATCAAATATTTGGTACAGGGATTCTTGAAATCATGTGAAAGAGTAACACTTGTTCGTCTGTAAGTTAAAACAATATGCACAGGCTAAAATGTAACTTGGATCGGAAGGTAACAGATGAATAACACACACTGAAACAAATGGTGACAAAATTCATTTATTTACGGAAGAAATTCTTCATAGCAAAACTTGATTTTTACATTACTAATGTATATACAACAGTATTACTGTACATCCGAGAGCCTATTGTCCTGCAACATAACAATGCTATATCATATCAATAGTTTAATACTTACAAACCGAGTGTTCTTGTGAAATGACTATGATACATTATTCACAATTAAAAAAATAAATATTAATTACTCCAACTCCAGGTACGATTATTTCACTCGCATAATTAGATAAACATTCATACATATAAAATGATACATTGTGGTTCGTAATGTCCCTTGTGTGGTCATGCGTTCCAGTGCCTGGTATAAAGAAATCCTTCGCCATATTCTGAGGGAACTTTAATTACTCGAGAGGCCTTGTAATTCGTGTTATATTTATACAAAAAGCTACAATTTCGTAGTCAAGTATGGCATGAGCACCTACAGGGCGGCAAGCCCTGGATATTTTAAAAAAAATCAAAATTGAAAGAAGGAAATAATTCATATAGGATTATATCAGATTTCGCATTACGTTTTTAGTCAATGTGTGTTATTATTTATCATAACAGCATAGCTTATGAAACCAACAGCTCTTATCCTTACAGAAAAAAGAATTAGAAAGTGCTGGGTAAATGAAGTTTGTTAATGAAATTAATATGATTCTATTTATGTGCCGGGATAGCGCAGTCGGTACAGCGACCGGCTACGGGCTGGACGACCAAGGGGTCGGAGTTCGAGTTCCGGTGAGGGCAAGAATTTTCACTGCTCCAGTCGTCTAGACCGGCTGTGGGTCCCACCCAACCTCCTATCCAATAAGTACCGGGGTCTTTCCCCGGGAGTAAAGCGGCCGGGTCGTGTAGCTGACCACTCACCTCCAACTAGTGCCGAGGTCAGAAAAAATGTGGGTATATACATCCACAGCCCGATATGTATTCATGGCGTAGTGCTTAATTAGTTGAGCACAGGGAAAACTTTGCTTTTTGTATTTTATTTTTGTAATAGAAATCAATTTGACTGCTAACGGCGATAAATGCAGGAATAGCACGTCAATTACCAGTAACGTAAACTTATGGTTGTTCAAGTTAGCCAGTTGAAGTGACTGAAGATATCTGTTTAGATACGTGTGAAGGTTGTACAAAATTTGCTTCATTACTGGCAGAGACCGTATCATTTATTTTGAAAGTACTGCATCCTTCATAGAGGACAACTAGTGCTGTTATAAATACTTATGTAAAGAATGTTCTATAACACTGTTGGTTGGCCTCTTGGATGTGGCCAGCCAAGGCCGAAATATATGAAGCAAGAAAATATTTTACCTATTTATTAAAAATTGTTGCGCTCGATGGAATTCTACTTCATGGACTGAATGCCAACTTGTATTCTGAAAAATGTCCACTATTCTGTAATGTAAGTTTAACATTAACTTACAGCCCCATTACCACACGAAAACCTACAGACTGATTGTTGGCCTCACAGTCGGTATGGACATGGAGAAGGTGAAAAATCTTGCCCCCACCGAGACTCGAACTCCGACCCATTTGACAGTCGCTTTAGCGACCGCGTTATTCCGGCTCAGAATCTTTAAGGGCACCCACGAAATTTTAATGAGAAATCAAAAATTTTCCGCTGATTACTTACGAAATAATTGTAGCTACTGTTTCGAGATATGTACTTTGTTCATATAACTAGCATTTTTCTTCTGTTAATTCACTATTTTTTTGGTCATTGCGATGTTTAGATTATTGCATTGAACTTTTCGTTTGTTACGTAGCTGTTCGAGTTCTGTTTCTTTTTTTTTAATATCAAAGACCAGAGAATTATTTAATTGTATTTCTTTGATGAAATTAATAAATACACGAGATTATTTATGTAACTGAGGAATTCCTATGACCTCTCCGAGCAGCGCGGACAGACCACAAATTTATCATCTGCATATACACGTTACGGCGAAAGGAATAATTAGCAATTATGAATAGACGTGATGAATCCCGCAAAAAATAATCACTCTCATCTGTAATTATTAATAGTTACCAACGTTTATTGGTAAATTTAATAAATAACTTTTATGATGTGTCACATTTCATGTGATTCGCCATTTCTACTTTAATAAAGCAGGGCTACTAACCTCTGCATTTCGAAGGACAATACAGATGGGCAACACGAAGGGAAATATAGTTTTTTTATTACATTTGCTAACTGACGTTCGTAATTTCAAATAAAAAGGAGTATTCACAAATGCCTGTAAAAGTGATTATCATTATAAGATTGATAACATTTATCATTGTTATTGCTAATTATGTATAATTACCGAGTATTATGCGTAATTACTGGTTTATTCACATTTATATATAAAGTTTCTGGCGCATTATTTTATTTAGTAATGTGAGAAAACTTGGCTCAACTGCTGTACGTGTGTGATTAACATCAATATAGTACTCGTTTTATTCGGATCGAATATAATTCCATCATTTTTAGTTCTAGTGGGGTGTGACTAAGTCCCTTGTACTACGGCCACTTCTGGCCTATTGTACCAGCCCCAGATGATAGGTGATGGTGATTGTGGAACAATTGGTGGAATGAAGATTGACAGGGAAACCGAAGTACTCTGAGAAAACCTTCCCCAGCACTACTTTGTCCACCACAAATCCCACTTGACCAGACCCGGGATCGAACCCGCCGCGATGGGAAACCAGCGACTAACCGCTTGAGCTATGGCGCGGCCTAATTCCATCATACATAACAAAGACTTAAAATTCAGTTGTGTAATTGATGTTATCTAGGAACAACATGATCTTTCCAAATAACCCCCCAAAATATTGTTTGCATAATGTCATGAAAAGAGGACGAACAACAAAGATTACACTTACTTTCACACAGGTAACGTCCCCGTGTTCTAGCAGTGGAACAGAGCCCCACGTGTTCCGCATACTAAGTTCCAATCTTGTTTTTGTTCTCTTTACGCCAACGCATATTTCCCAATATCACGCCGAAAAGAAATAAATCTGATACATGCTCGTTTTATTTCTTTTTCTGTGCGTTGTAAACAAAGTAATTATTCAGGTTGTTATTTTTACTCTTGGTATTGGTCCAAATCGATCTGATAGGAATAGTTTCTCTTTCTAGCGGTCAGAATATAAATCATTAAGTGAAAATGAAATGGAGATGTGTTTACATGCTTTGATCCAGCTTTTGAAATCTTGTTACAGAATAATAAGGCTGTTTTCTTTTTTTCACGGTTACTTGTGTACCATAAACACAGTTTCGATTTAACGCAATTAAAGAATACAAATATCACTTCTCAATTTACATAGTTTCAATTCTGACTTTAATGAGAGTACACGATCAGTTACAGGCAAATGGCGGACGACTGCGTTGCTTTGAAGGCAATAGAAGCTGCGCGAATATAGTTGCGCGCAGAGATCACAAGGCCATCTTGGGCCACTTTGATGAAACGGCACTGTTTTGTAATAAGATGGCGACGGCAAACCCAGTGGAAATCCTTTAACATTGGACAGGCTGTGGATGTCACAGTAAAGGCTGGAACTCAATATAACCCTCTGGGTTGATGGCCAGTGCACTCAGCCTCATTACCCATTATCGTTTTTAATTTAGGTTATAATTTTCGAAAACGCATTTACCAGGTAAATCGAGAAATGATTCTCCATCGTGGCTGTTATTGGCTGGGGCTCAAGAACAGTTCTGAAACGTAGTGAAGTGCAGCTTCTCTGTTAAAAGGAGCTGCGTTCCAGTCCACATATGTGTTCGGTTACATAAATTGTGAGCTAAACTCAGATTTTAAGATTCAGTACAATTAGGCGTTTTATAGCTCAGTCGGTATAGCGACTGTCTACGAGCTGGACGAGCAAATGGTCCGAGTTCTAGTCCCTGTTAGGGGCAAGAATTTTCACTTTTCACTGTCGTCCAGGCCGGTTTTGGGGCCCACGCATCCTCCTATCCAACGGGTACCTGGGGTAAAGCGGTCGGGGTCTGAAGTTGACCACTCATGTCCAGCTAGTCCCGACGTCAAGAAAACGTGGATGGATACATCCACTCCCTCATACGTCTTCATGGCGTAGTGCTTAATTAAGTTGAGCACGGGACAGCTTAAATTTTTACGGTATCCGAGCAGTAAAAAAAAAAAAACTTAGGCGAATGGAGACACTGTATTGGTATACCTTTATATATTCCAGTCTGTTTGGGATTCCAGTGAGGTAACATTCCCTGAGCATAATGAAGCACTATGCAGTGAATTAGTTGAGCACGTACCATGAAGACCCGTGGGATACAGAGTAATTGCACCTCGCAGTGTAACCTTGGCACTGCATTGTCTACTCGGTGGTCCCAGACCCAATCTGGACAAGATACCGAAGTGGGAGGTTTCTGCGCCTGCTGGAACTCGAACCCGGCATATAATTTTTGTGTTGTCTGTTCTTCTGTTTCGCACAAATATCTTAGATGCACTCTAATTGCTGTTGTCGTGATATCGGTGCAATTAATGCTTAGAATTTATTTATGAAATTCTATAAGTATATTGCCGACCCCTTCTTTCGTCTAGTGGTCAGGGTTCCTGGCTACAGATCCAGAGGTTCCGGGTTCGATTCCCGGCGCTACCAGATTTTCTGAGAAGCAGTGGGCCTGTAACGGGGTCCACTCAGCCTCGTGAGGATAATTGAGGAGCTCTTTCAAGGAAATAGCGACTCCGGTCTAGAACACCTAGATTAACGGCCGTGGGGATCCGTTGCGCTGACCACGCGACACTCTCTATCCGTTTGGCACTCACCTCGCCTACAAGCGGCGGTCGCTCAGTCGGTATAGTTCGCTTGTGGACTAAAACCACGGATTTTTTTATATAAGTATATTGTATTATGTTTCAGAAATTTTGTCCATAATATATTTGTATGTTTGGCCATGTTTGAACTGTTTAGTGTCAGCGAGATGAAATCTGCAAACGGATCCCATCAGCTCGCACCAATAGAACAGAATGATGACCAGTTACGGTACTTGTATAAAGAACAACCACAGGAACGCCTGGACCTCGCCAGGGAACAGAAAACCCGTAGTGTATCGTTTCAACATGGCAGGCTCTTAAATTATTCGGCGCTGGACACTGCTGCAACCACACCCAACATCACCGCACTCACTCCTCACATTCAGCACTCAAAAACATTCACTCGCTCAAGAAACCGACAATTTATTATTGTTACGTGTCTGTGTGTTCTATGTTAAAGTGGATGAAGTGATCTCAAGCCCGCTAAGAACAGGACTCAATCCGTACTTTATTCACTCGTACATCCAAACTTGGTGATGTGGAAAGAATAGTTTATGGAAGTCTGATACATTTACCGGCAACCACACCCAAGTACAGCCATGTCTTGATAGTTTTTGAGCACTACCTTACTTTCTTCATCCAGATACAACATTGAAATTGATGTCAGAGAAGTGGGGACACAACATGCTTTCGGCACCGCACTGGGGTTCACAGAATTCACCAGGGTCTGCACAATTGCGTGATTCGTCGAATTGAGATGATCTGCCAATGGGAAAGGACAATCACCATGACAATAGAAAGCGTCATAGCCCGGTGGAGCTACGATCCAATCATTCCATCCAACGTCTTGAAAGTCCACGTAAAGAGGGTACCTGCGACAATTCTCACGGCCTTCCTTCCGTTTCCTGGATTGTGCAGCGCGTTTAGATGACTGTGAAGCGCGTTTGGACCTACTCACTATCTCTTCCCCATATCTCGGTCTGTTCTTACCGTCATCTGTATATGTGAACAGGATTGGCTGTTTCGGCAACCACTCTCTGTCGTCTTCATTTATTTCTCGACGCAATCGCAAGTGATTTTCACTCTTTGACATATTAATGTTATTGTCTACAGGCATCACTTCGATAAGCAGTCCATGATTCTCGTTTGGAGTTTCAATCCAGCGTTCGACAGCTGGAACAACGTCTAAGATTACAGGGTTGTCGTCTCGAATGTCTATAACTTTCGAGTCGATGAGGCGGATTATAGGCTCTCGACGTCCGTGGATTCCTGGCTTCACAATGTCGTGTACTAGAAGCCAGAAGAGGTAACGCCGTGATAGACCCTTCCTTTGTTTCCTTATCGAACTCGCCCGATCACTGTGTTGAGCTCTTGCAGCGAAGTTGGCTGTCACACTGTCTGTAGCCTCTTTTGTTTCTGCATGCACCTTCAGTACATTCATTTGGTCATCACTTTCCGAGACCCTGTTTTCCACATTACTCACTGCATTACTACGCCGTGTCTCCTTGCCAGCCTCTGGAATCACTGGTTGACGATTTATCTGCAATTCTGCTGCCTTCAGTTTTTCTCCTTTGGGGATGTTTTTTATGTCGAAAGCAAGACGGAATTTCTGTTGGCTCGGAAAACGTGCATCTGCGCTGCTCTCTGCAATGAGAAAAGTGTAGGATTAGTGTTACAAATTGCCCATTAATGCTTTATAATGGGTGCTTGATTATTAATGTGAACACAAAATGGAAGTTGATATGGGTGCGACATGCAGCACGCATGGGATAGATGATAAATTTCTACAGAATTGTATCGGAAAACCAGAGGTATGGAACCATAAGGTATTCATAGACGTAGATGAAGGGTAAATGTCCGCCTCTGTGGTCTAGAGGTAAGAGTTCCTGGCTGCAGATACACAGGTCCCAGGTTCCATTCCTGGAATTGCGTCAATTCAGCCTCGTGAGGTAAATTGAGGAGCTACTTGAATGGAAAAATAGCGGCTCAGGTCTAGAAAACCGAAATTAACAGCCGTGGAGTTTCGTTGCAATGACGAGGCGACACCCTCTGTTCACTAAAGTTGGCATTAACTTCTCCGAAAAGCGGCAGTCGCTCGGTCGGTATAGTTCACTTGCGGACTAAAACCACGGAGAAGTGTGAACTGTGGGCAGGAACCAGGGACGAGTGGCGAGCATAAATGGATATCGCAACGAATTTTCCGATTTAGTAAAATGAAGGAATATCTTGAAAAGTCGAACGATTGTTAAGTTCTTAAAAATAATCTTGCGGAATTAGTTGTTAACATTCATGTAGAAAGTGCTATCAGTGTAAAGCCAGTTACAGGGCCATCGAGAAAGAGTGCCGGGGTTATAAAGAAAACTATCACTCGAAAACTGTTAAACATATCGGCATGATTTTAGCTTTAAATTGATAAGAAATATCTGAAGATTTTGTCTTAATTTAGTATGTTTCGATATGTGCTCCATTTGTGTTCGAACTTGTGCCAAGTCCGCCGAATCATATCTGGAGTTACCATTCCAATGGCTGCTGTTATCTTATCCCGTACACGCCGGAGATCCCAAATCTTATTTACAGTCTATTAACACTGATCCACACTTAATCCATACAGTCGTGGTTATGTGTATAAAATATTATTAAAATCATTAAAATATTAGATATATGCATTATGTACAATGCTACATTTTTCGGCCATATAAGGCCATATTGAGGCAACAGTTTTATAAGTAATCCAGTGCACTGCGCACTAATCTAATGCCCTTTTTTCGTTACGTCATTGGTGTTTTCTTCTTCGTGTCGTTTGAAATGCGGCTGTATTTATTTTGGTTCGTGTGTTGTTTTCTTGATTGTGCGTATCAAGTGTCCCTTGCGAGAGCGGAACATGTAGCATTGTTGTTAATTGTTGCGTTATAGACGGAAATGGACTGTAAGTGAGAACTCAATGCAGTAGGATGCTCAAATATAATGTCCCTAATTTTATCAACATCCGGTCTAGAAAACCGAGATTAACGGCCGTGGGGATCCGTTACGCTGACCACGTGACACCCTCTATCCGCAAAATTTAGCACTAACTTTGCCGACAGCGGCGGTCGCTCGGTCGGTATAGTTCGCTTGTAGACTAAAGGCAACGGAGGAACGGAATCTTATCACCACACTCAATGTTCTTGATCTATCCCCACAAAAAAGTCTATCGGAGTAATATCTGGGCTTCAAGGAGGCCAGAAGATTGGTCCGCCCCTCCTACTCCAGGGTTTAAGGAACCTCTCATTGAAATTGTATCGATTGGTCAACAGACGAAAGCATCTCAACGTCGCTCGCTACACACCATCATTCAGCATATCCAAAACTTATGTTCCTTCGCCGTATTTTTAAACTTGAATCATTTTTCATGTTTAACAGTTTTTTGAATAATAGATGTTCAAAATCCTAGCATACTTTTTCGATGACCCTGTAAACGAGAGCGTGTTTATAGCGAAGGGTCGGCTTTCTCTATAGTTCCATCTGAAGATGGGGAACGGTGGAAATATTTGGACAGTCCTTACTGATAAACCCTCCATCGTGATGTCAGCGGTAAGAGGATTCGCAAACTGTTAGGTCCTTAAATTACCTTTGTTGTGGTAATAATGTAATCCGATATTTTGAGATATTTTTTTTGTTCTGCTAAAAAATATAACGGAGGCTTACCTTAAATGCCTTTGTGCAGTATAAGTTTAACAATACGACTTACGTATCCGTGAAGTTTTGACAGTTAAACAGTGCCTCGCCCTCTCAAATACTCGTTTACCTGTTTGGAAATCTCTCTCTCACACATACACACACCAATACACAAAGCACGGTCAGACAGGACCTTCTGTCTACTATTTAAACAAGCCATTGTGATATGCTACGCCTAAATTGGGGTAAAACTGTATAAGATCGCTTCGCCCGGCCGTGATGATTTTCCATTTTTTTTTTCATTTTTTTACAGAATTTGCTAGTAGAACTGTTAAGCGTGTCATGCCTTAATGAAGTTGCCTTACACAAGGGAGGCATGCTCTCTATTGTTTCCATCTGTGTTGATACCATGTAGAACAGTGTGCTGAGGAGAATATTTGGACCGAAGAGGGATGAAGTGACAGGAAGTTGGAGAAAACTGCATAGTGAGGAGCTTCATAACTTGTACTCTTCTCCAAGTATAATTAGAATGATCAAGTTGAGGAGGATGAGGTTGACAGGGCATGTAGCACGAATGGGGAGAGGAGGAATGCATATAGGATATTGGTAGGAAAGCCGGAAGGAATAAGGCCACTAGGAAGACCAAGACGTAGGTGGGTGGACAGTATTAAAATGGATCTTAGACAGATAGGATGGGATGGTATGGATTGGATCGATCTGGCTCAGGATAGAGACCAGTGGAGGGCTCTTGTGAACACGGTAATGAATCTTCGGGTTCCGTAAAATGCTGGGAAATTCTTGAGTCGCTGCACAATTGGCAGATTCTCCAGAAGGGCTCAGCTCCATGAGTGAGTGATATCATGTAGACGTTATGCGCCGTGTGCACGATGCCATAATTCAGAAGACTAGAATATGAACCTTCACGTCACATCCCATGAAGGTACATAATACTGAAATTCTATACTTTCTTCGCGCAAAACACACGGGACACCTGGTGTATGCCATGTGGTTTAATTTTGCTTGAAGATTTATCTAAACATTTTATTAAAAGCAGTCGCTTCTCAGATGTGACGCCGTATAATCTGGTAGATGTTTACAAACATTTCGGAGTAATTTACTGCCTCAGTCTTCAAGGTTAATTTTGTAAATATTTACTAGAGTTTCAGAAGGCCCGTTACCTCCATCTTTATGATTCCCGGAAATATTGGTAAATATTTACCAGACTACACGGTCTCACATTTCAGAAGGTAGGCTTCTTAAAGAATCTTCTGCCTCGAAGACGGAGGTTGTATGTTTTTTTTTTCAAAATATTCCTAAATATCTACAAAATTCTACGATGTCACATTCCAGAAGGCGCCAGGCTAAAAAATGCCCTACCATGAAAATGAAGACAATAAGCCAGCCCGAAGCAATGGGATGTGTGTATATATATATATATATATATATGAGATTACCCGGTGTCACATCTCAGAAGACAGCACATTCATTTTCAGGGTCGTAAGTACCTCAAATCTTACATGTATTTTCTCGTTTTTATCAAATGATACGTTTCCTATGAAACGTGCAGAAGGTAGCGAGATGAGATGAAGTTTGGAGTGATATTTTATATAAAAATTATTTTGAAAATAGTTATTAAACAGACGGACAATCTGACGTTCTGAAACACACTGCACCGAAAATTTATGTATAGGCATTGTTTAGCCGCTTTGTGACTGCTGCATCATGCTGATTTCTTGCCTGACTTATCCTAGAACCCTAAAGATCGAGACATGTTCTTCCTAAACGTCGGTTGACTTTCAACGTAATAAACGACGTTGTATCTCAGAAAATGTAACTCTTCATAACCACAGCTTTGTGGACCTCAAATCTTAAAAGTCGCTACTTGATGGTGACATTTTCTGAGTTGTTTTAGATGCATAATAACGCACTGCGTGATCAGGGTTCTTCTACTCGCCTCAAGGTGCTGTAGGTCATCATGGAGCGATGGTGGAATGGTGATTAGAGAAGAAGGATTTGGCTACTCCAGTACCACTTAAAACCGCCATGAATCTGAAGTCATTCGGGTTTCACCTGGACCTTGCGGTGAGGAACCAGAGTCGAACTGCCTAAGCTCTAGCACGGCAATACTGGAAGAACAATGGATCTTCTGGGATATAATGCCTTTTAGTATGTTAAAAATCAACCGACGTTTCGGAGAGACGTATCGCCTCCAGAGTGACTCTGCTTGCCATCTACTTTTACGTTGGTTAAATGCTTGGCTTATTCTTCGACCCTGAAGATGGGGGAGACATGTTCCTCCTAAATGTCGTTTGAATTTCAACGGACTACACTGGGCTCTGTCCCAAAAAATATAAATCTTCAGGATGGAAACTGGATTGGTTTGGGTCGGTTTGTTATGTAGGCCGCATTATAATTACAGAGGTGATTTGAACATCGTTATACTTACCGACGTGAGGAAAACTCCGCACCGTGTTGGCAGTGCGAGTGTGTCTGCCAGGTAGGGGCAGTGCCGTGGTATCCACTTCGAACCCGGTCTGCTTTCGGTACAATTCCAACATGGCTTCGGGCACAACCACCTTAGCGGGACGCGGCCTTTTTTTGAACCCGAACATTGACAGTAGACTGGCCTCCACGTTCGCCAGGACTTCGGAATTCTCCTTAAGGCTGTTGGTATTGGCAGACTTGGAGCTGAAGGAGGAACACGCTGGCTGGTGAAGGGTCGCGAGCAGCACGGGTAGAACCATCAGCAACCCGCGCATTGTCGCTCACACTCCTGTAACAAATGGAGAGACAGTAATTAAGCTAAAGTCATAAGCCTTCCTCCTTGTATTCCGGAGGTGTTCGGTTCTTATCCCAGTAAGGACACTGATGGTTTTCCCGGGGTTTCAAAAGTCTCCTAGGCAAATGGCAGTACTTCAAATTAGACCTCTTCCACATTTTTCAAATCTATTTTTGTCTGTCTCTCCTCTCGCTCCCATTTTGGAGCATAGAGCTCATTTCTCAGTTTTATGATCATTTTACAGACGCTAAGACTCCTTGGACGGGTGATCAGCTCGTCGCAAGGCTCTACCCAAACACAGATTAAACACATACACACACCAAACACCCATGCCTTATGTGGGATTCGAACCCACGATCCCGGCTTCCGAGCGAGCGAAGACAATACATGACTTAGACAGTTCAGCTACCGTGACCGGCTTCAAATCCATTAGTCATTTTTAGTTCTACCACGCTACACTGTGTTAGTGACCGTATATATACCCGTTACTAAGCGAGGTTTCTGTTACCATGACCTTTCCTTGGTCTTCCCAGTGTTCTCTTTTCTTCTGGCTTTCCCACCAATATGCTACATACATATGCTCGTTCGGATGTGAATGCAGCTTGGAGCGAAGGAATGAGGGCGAACAGGTTGGGCTAGCGAGGGTTGGAACAGGTGTACAGCGAGGACTTGGCAGACCGCGAGGCACTGTTCGCCATGAGAACTGCTGGATGGAGGCACGCAGTCTCAATGGCTCTGCGACCTCTGACACGTCCTGGGATTCCCCCTTATTGCCCTTCAGCCAGCAGAATAGGTCATTTAATACCTCCGGAAAAACATTCTCCAAATCCGTGGCCGGCATCTCACAGGGTGTATAAAAACTAGGTCATTGTTTACGTGAAAGAATCCCAATCTTACAGCCTTTGTTTCTCTCGAGTTTTCTTCACTGAAAGGCAGATTCACTTTTTAGAGCGCAAGTTCTCAGGTTCCCGTTATACAGAGCTGCAGTTAAATGCCGGGCAGGTTTTCTAGCGGTAACGCTCTGGACCTGTATTCGAGAAGTGCGTTCTTCGGTTCCTGGCCGGGATACCAGCTGTTTTGGCTAGTTTTCCACGGTTGTCCTCAGCCCCTCAAAGACCGATATATTACATCGACTAGGAAACACACACACCTATATGTATATATATATATACTGTGACGCATATCCCCATTGCTAGGCAACGGCTCGTTAAACATTCCCGAAGTTACGTGCCAAACAACAGAAGAACGTCAATCGCTAGGCAACGGATATATTTATGTGCTAACGTCCGACTCGAGGCTATATAACAAAAAGCCAATAATAATTGACAGTTCAGTCGGAATTCAGAAGAGTTCCAGTGGAGTGTCCAGCCAAAGAAGATGACAGTGTGTCCGATAGTGATTTGCGAACTGTTGTGATCAGTTGTATAAAGGTCCAGTACATTCGATCACCAATACAAGCCCCGTCTTATTAGTCACGCAAACCCAGGATACGTGACAGTACATTAATACACCGAACATTGGTCTATACGTAAGCTGTATACTTCTTTTCGGGGACGATTTCGGTTTGAATCTCGATAGGGAGACCGCCTATATTAACTAAGATCGTGGTTTTCCTTAGTCCCTTCGTGAAAACGCCTGGGTAGTAACTCGAATTGAGCCTCGAGAGCTTCATTGTATTTCCAATTAACCTACCACCGTCTTATCCGACATTACATATGCTCGATACTGAAAAAGCTTCGTTAAATATCCGATACGTACAATGAACATTACGATAAATATATCATGGTCGACTGACCGCCTCTGTGGTCTAGTGATCAGAGTTCCTGGCTACAGATCCAGAGGTCCGGGTTCGATTCCCGGCGCTACCTGATTTTCTGAGAAGTAGTGGGTCTGGAACGGAGCCCACTCAGCCTCGTGAGGATAATTGAGGAGCTATTTCAAGAAAATAGCGGCTCCGGTCTAGAAAACCGAAATTAAGGGCCGTGGGGATTCGTTGCGCTGACCACGCGGCACCCTCTATCCGCTAATGCTGGCACTAACTTTGCAGACAAGCGGTGGTCGCTGGGTAGGTATAGTTCGCTTGCGGACTACAGGGCACGGAGTTTGTTGTTGCTTGACTCTACAGACCGTACATTTTCTGTGACATCTGAATTGATCGTCTTCTGGCGTAAAATTAAGCAAGTGACAAGGATTCCCTGTCTTTTGGATTGTACACCTTTAAAATTCCAACGTACAGAACCCCAGAACTACCGTAGCTGGTTCGCTTTATAAAATCAGTCTTTATCTTATGAAGATATTTCTTTTGTTTTATTATGTCTACAGCTAGAAGTATTCATAATTTATTAACTGAAATGGTGGGACTTAGACATGGACACCTGTATTAATATAAGAAATTCAACAGTGCTTGGAAATGGCGTCATTTGTAAGATAAATTTTCTTACGTCACGATTCTTTTAATTTATTTCGAGTGAGAAATGAATACAAAAAGAGGAATTACTTGTTTGTTGCTTCAAGATTGTGTACGTGCCCTGCATCCAAAACATAACGCATTGGAGACTTGAATGCGTGGATGAGAAGAACTTCTTATACTTAAGAATCTCCTGAATGACGGCCCGAATATTATGGAACATTGGCATGAATTAATTATGTAAACAACATGGCTAGATGATGTGAATAACCGCTTCTGTTGTTGTAGATGCATTCTACAGTCTTGGCTCCACCGTTTCCTAATGATTGTATAGTCTATCAGAGAAACAGATTTGTGCTATGTAGACGATTCGACCAAACAAACCCAAATGTGGCATAGTAGCCACGCATGTAAGCGTCTGTTGTGCGCCAAATTTCGGCGTCTTCAGTGTCAGGAACCGAATGTTGTAGTAATCGATGAATATTGGATTGGGAATTGTTTGAAAATAGTCGCCATCTTGACATTTGCCTAGAGTTGATCATTCTGATAATATTTTATGTAGAGTACAAATTGTGAAATATAATCCACGTCATCGGGACTCGAACCCGAGACCTTCCGGCCTGTAACATAGTGCCTCAATCAACTACGCTACTGGCTGGGCGACAAAGGTATCGGGGGCACTTCCCCACCCAGCCTCCTGGTTCCAGACCTGCTCTACATGTAGATTATAAAGGGTTCTAACGATGGTGTATAACAAAAAAAAAACTAACTCCATGACTTTAGTCCACAAGCGAAATATACCGACCGAGCGACCGCCGCTTGTCAGCGAAGTTTATTGCCAACTTTTGCGGGTAGAGGGTGTCGCATGGTCAGCGCAACGAATCCCCACTGCCGTTAATTTCGGTTTTCTAGACCGGAGACGCTATTTCCTTCAAGTAGCTCTTCAATTATCATCACGAGGCTGAGTGGACACCGTTCCAGACCCACTTCTCAGAAAAATCTGGTAGTGCCGGGAATCTAACCCGGACCTTTGGATCTGTAAGCAGGAATCCTAACCACTAGACCACAGAGGTGGTTGACGATGGTGTATAACGCCCATAATTACTGGGATTTTTTACTTCGTCCATCGTCTGATATTGTAAAAAAATTAGAGAACCCAAAGTTTCGGAAATTGGATCGTCCAGTGTTTGAGGTTAGCTCTTTCTAACGGACCCAACAGAGTAGATGTCTCCACTCCCTCTCACCACAGGACGGAAAAGACGCCCAGTTTCAGAAACATTGTGTTCTCTAATATTTTAGAGTGCCAGATGATGGACAAAGTCCAAAAACTGAGTAATTTCGAGATCTTGAACGTTCGATACTCGTACACAACTTAACTCCACAAAGAGACAGCCAGGTTTAAAACTCCGTCACATTGGACGGAGTGATTTATATCTTAATATTCCCGTTAATACGAGAGGATGAGAGGATGTTTCTGTTTAACGGAATTTTGGATGTCTGTGTATGTATTGTGATATGTAGACCCGTCGCTAGGAAGCGACTCGGTAATCAAGCACGCAACAAATACGCAGCCAACAATAGAGTAGACCCATTTCCAGGCAATGTCCGCAATACACACACGCAACAATGGAAATGGTGTCGCAAAAGTTTTTGTATGTGGTTCGCATGTATAATTTGCTAGACAACTGTGGTTTTCTGTGCTGTGGTCCGACCCGAGGCTATGTAACGAGAAGACAAAAAAAAATGCCATGTGACGCGAATGGTTGATAGTTTAGTTGGAAATGAGAATAGTTCCCGTGGAATGTCCAGTCGGAAGATGACAGCATGTTGGATACTAATATGTGAATTGTAACCAGTTGTATAGAGGTCCAACAAATTTCGATCACCAATGCAAAACCCCGTCTTATGAGTCACTCAGACCCCTGATATGTGAAAATATATATGATACGGAGCAGCCACATGCCCCTTTGAACAGGATAATACTTGGGTTCCCAGAAAACACGTAATTTCATTAAAAGCGTATGTTACATCCTCAAGAATGACTATCCTTAAAGAAGTTTATTTAGATAGGATGGAACTCTATTGCTCTTACTCATGCAAATGTAATTTACGCAATAGAAACACCTGCGAAATACCAGACACTTCTTATGTTATGTACTGTGGTGTTTTAATTAGAGTCTTCTTCCATTACCACTGCAGTTTATTACTTCCTGAGGGTATAACTGCTATGTTACACTGTGCGAGTGTCACTGCATAATCTGACTTTGTTGTAGCTACTCATACATTCAACTCCTCCATTAACATACGTTTCTCAGTCGAGAATTTCTTTATATCTTATTGATGGCTTTCAAGGCGATTGGGTTTCTTACTCCAATCGGTAGATAATTCATTTATTAACAGCCTTATTTGGAAAGTAGAGTGAAGTTAGTTCAGTCAGTATAGTGGCTGGACGACCGGGGATTCGATTCCCAGTAAGGGCAATAAATTCTTTCCCCATAGTTGTCCACTCAGCCTCGTGATAATTGAGGAGCTATTTCAAGGAAATAGCGGCTCCGGTCTAGAAAAGCGAGATTAACGGTCGTGGGGA